AGGAGTCTTACATGCGGGTTGAGTATGTTTGTGTGTCGTCAGTATCACCAGATGACGACACGGGGTCCGGGTTCTGAAACATCCTCATTAAGATAACTCACTTTTAGTATAAGTTTGGTAATGAGTTCGTTCAGATTCAGGTAAAGTTTACTGAGAGTCGTCACATCAAGCACGGGTTTAGATGGTGTAAAGTACAGGTGTGATAAGATCTGTAATATATCAGTATTGTAAACGTGATGTCTTGAACTGTTATGTTGGTTATAGACGTGAGTAGACTGTATTATAACATAGCATGGCGGTATATTACAGATGGAGTGTTACCCTGCATGTGTAAGAATTGTAGGTAAATTAAAACTATTGTATTTCAAGTGAGGGAATCATGAAGGTTGTATCATAACTAGCAGCTGCACACATTACGAGCGTGTGCCTCCGTCGTGTGGGGGATAAAAGCTGGGGTCGTAAACATGATAGTGCCGCTGGGTATATGATGCCGCTAGCAGTATCGTTATTATTAGGAATTTTGGGGGGAATATGGTGTGAGTGTGTGGTGAGGAGGTAGAGTGTGAAGGAGGTGTCTGTGAGGGTGGTGGCACCAACCATACAGCGTGGCCCTACATGATTGACTGGTTAAAGCTAACCCACCGTCACTCTCATAGCAGACTGGCACGCACAGGGTGGCACTGTCAGGCTGGGCCACTTGATGATGGGTGAGGTGAGCCATGGTGACTTGGGTTGAAGTGATCACAACAAACCCTTGTGACAACCTTTTGTAACTTGCTTGTGTTATGAGAGGGTCATTAAATATTGTTCATAAACCTTTGCAATACGTGTGTATAATATATCTGTGCAACACACAATGCCCGCAAGCCTTTGCAATGTGTGTATGAAACCGGTCTGTGCAACAACATTTTTTAATAAGCTTATGCAGGAAGTTGTGGACTACCTACAGTGTACAACTAGCCGCTGTATGAAACAAAATATTTAACATTCCACATTCATCAAGTCTTAAACAACAAGCCCATGCAACGCGTGTGCAACAAGCTTATACAGAAAGCTTGTACAACACCGTAATTCCACAAGCGTGTACAACAAGCGTGTGCAACAGGGGTGAGGCGTGGGATAAGCCAGGGTGGGCAGGGAGGCCACGCATCAAGGGACACTAACAATCTAACTTTTTTTCTATGGCGTGAAAAAGTTCTTTGTTCAATTATAGTGAGTAATCTTGGTGAGGCAGCGACGGGTAGACCAGCTGCGTCCCTCCCTCAAGGCTTCACACTGTTGTCACCTGTAATACCGTTTATTAATGGTGGTCCAGCCTTAGGTGTCAATGAAGTCAATTACAAACTTTTTTTAGGTGTTATTTCCCCTCGTCGTAATTAGGTTTAGTGACGTTATGCGGCTACAAAAATGGTAAACTGCAAATATATCAGAAACATTAATGTTTTTCTGTGTTGACATAAATACCCAGTAATTTTATGGTAGCTTATTACTATTTTATACCGAATATTATTAATTCAATGTGATTTAATGTCATTAGTGTTTGTGTCAGTTCCTCATAAATTTACTGAAATATATTAGTTTTTTCATATGTGTGTGTATGTGTTAGTCACTTTAATGTTTACATGTGCTCGCTTATCCTGTGCGTGTGTTTGTTTTATTGTGTACATTATTGAGGCAGTTTGTGGTGTTATGTCCAGGTAAACATTTGGCAATATACAGGTTTTGTGTGTGTGTGTGTGTGTGTGTGTGTGTGTGTGTGTGTTTTGCTGTATGATAGTTGATATTATTCATCATGATATACATAATAATATGTATGTTAATTATGTTACCAGTAGATCCAGTAGATATTTTATTAAATGTTAATTGTAGTGAAGTATATACTGTACTCGTGTGTATATATATCAACACACATTAACCTACTATAAACATGTTAATTATCTGGTATATAACAAAACTATGAGTCACTACATTCTACCATTTTTAGTATAATTATTCACATTCCGTAAAAAGATTTGTTGGTTGCATCAGTGGTCAAGGTTATGGAGTGTGTTAGTTGCCAGAGGTCGGGGGTTATGAGGCGTGTTCAGTATATATTCTTCCTCGCCAGTATTCCAACAAGCTCATTTTCCGTGTGACCGCATAGGAAAATGGCGAGCGGTAAAACTCCCCATAACAGCTGTTTTACCAAGCGTGGCTATAACTCCAGCGGGCCTTACCACGGTTAATAATAACTTGGGTGTCCTTACCACGGGTATTGAGGAGGGGGATGGGGGTAGGAGAGGAATGGAGAGAAGTGGAGGGGGAGGAGAGAGGTGGAGGGAGGAGATGGGAAGGGGGAGAGGATAGGTGGAAGGAGAGGAGACAGGTATAAAGAGAGAGAGGAGAGAGGTGAAGCGTGGAGAGGGTTGAATAAACCTCGTAAATAAAACACGTGAAAATGTACTTATATAGCCAACTTAATCTAAAACACCATAATATCGACCCAAAAATAACATACCAAAATGACACCTGACATACACTACGTTCACTTGTGTCACGATATTAAAATACAGAATGTTTTAAAAAGATTTTGTACCTTAATTTGTGTCAGGTTAACGTGTCTCTAGCTAGTTAAGGTTGTGTCACTGTAATTGGGTTGTTAGGTGTTATATTTGTATTTTAGATTTAGGTCAATTGGTTTGATCATATTGTGACGTCTGCTGTTATGGGGAATATTTATCGTGTGTGTGTGTGTGTGTGTGTGTGTGTGTGTGTTAGTTGGTCTGCCCGACACACTGCTCCTACACGTTGTTTGTTAATAGTTATCACGTAAATCATAAATAAACGGAGACGACGGATCGTGTGTCTTGAAGGGTGCTCGTCATGAGGCCTCTGAGTGGTGTGTCTTCAAGATTGTTTATGGCAATTTGCATATGAATTGAAAAATTAAAAGAGCGAACCTGAAATGCATTTTGTTGGTGTGCGGAGGAACGTTTACTGTTAGAAACCATCAGTAGCGCCGAGTAGTTTCTCTCGTGGGTCAGGTGCTGTTATTTGTGGGTTAAAATGGTTAGTGGTGGTGTTTTGTGGAGGTTACCTTTACTGCTGTGTGTGTGTGTGTGTGTGTGTGTGTGTGTGTGTGTGTATGGTTCCAGTAGTTGATGAAAGAGAGAGAGAAAGAGTATATCGGTGGTGGCCATACAACACCCACGGTCTGCCTCACACAGTGGCTGGGATGCAAAAATCGGGAGGCTATTCTCTATCATAATAACTCACTCATCCGGGAGCCCTCTGGTGCCAGCACAGACAAAAGCTCTATTCCAGGACTGGTGCTTCCCCCTCCTTCTCCTCCTCCTCCTCTCTTTCCCTCTCCCTCCTCCTCCTCTCCTCACCTCCTCCTCTCCCTCGCCTCCTCTCCCTCCTCCTCTCTCTCCTCCCTTTCCTCCTCCTCCCTCTCCTCCTCTCCCTCCTCCTCCTCTCCCTCCCCTTTCCTCCTTTATCTCCCCCTCATCCCCCTTCTCCTCCTCCTCCTCCTCCTACACTAGCTGCGTTGGTCCTATTACACCCCGCATCACGTTAATGTCGGGACATTCGAGTCTTTCTCACTACTTGTCAGAGTTTGTTTGTCGAGCGCCCATCTTTATCTGTCTGTCTGTCTGTCTTTAGTATATATCGATAACTTTTCGTCAAATTGTTTTACTTTCTAATGTATGCTCATCACACATCGCTATAACTTTCATAACCTCAGCAGTGTTCCTTCCCTCACCAAGGTTTAGTCTCCTCCATCTGTCTCGCGGGACTGACAGCCAGCGTTGAGTTATAAACTTCAGCATGATGGGTGGCAGTTTAGCAGAGTATCGGGGCACAAGTTGCTCCCTTTCCCCCCTATACAGTGTGACATTCTCCAAAACTTTAGCCCTAATCAGCCGCAACCTTCCCTTCTGCGTCGTTTATTTGTGTCGCAATATATTACAGGGAGTAAGCTGTCATTGCCCAGTGGTTGAGTTGCGTCCGTGGGTGGAAGTGGTGAGGTGTGGTGATCAATACCAGACGTTAAACACCAAGTTCCTCCGCCAAACTTGGTCTTCGCCCGTGTAAAGTGGCTGCTCAGAGTGTCACTTTAGGGAGGTTAATCAGACCTCGCTCCACCAAAGCCAACTTTGAAACTAAGCTGTGCACTTTTTATAAACTTGCAGTTTACAGAAGGAAATTAAGACAGCTTGACTAAGTTGTGTGTCAAGATACATGGACGGTGGTTGAGGATGGGGGAAGGAGAGAAGGGAGGTTGGTGGGAGGGAAGGAGGGGGGAAAGGAAGGTGGGAGGGACGGAGGAGGAAGGAGGGGCAGGAAGGGGGGTGCGAAATGTGAAAGAAGGTAGAGGGAGGGATGAGTAAGACGGGGTAAGGAAGGTAGGGGGAAGGTAGGAGGGTGGGAAGGATGGAAGGTGGGAGGGAGGGAAGGAAGGAAGGTGTGTGTGTGTGTGGGTGTGTGTGTGTTTGTTTGTGTTGAGGATTATAAATATAGAGAGTGTAACTTACTTTAAAGGAGTAAAGTTTTTGAAATAAAGATCATAATTGGATGTTTAACAATAGGAAAATAGATGAAATATTAAAGAAATATAGAAATTTTGCATCTAGAATATAACTATGTACTATAACTGATTATATGAAATATTAGGGATTTATGTGAGTCCTGAGAGGGACATTCCTGGACTGGGGTTGGGATGACTTATGTCACTTCATCCCTTTGAGATGTATTAATGTTTTTTGTATCTCAATAAACGTATCAATCAATCAATCAAGATCGTACTTATAGAAAAGCAAATAAGGATATGTGTGGGTTTTTTTTTCCATAATTACCGGGAATATAAGTAATATTTTCTTTCTATAATCTCTAAGTTAATTACCAGGAAAATATATTGTCTTTCTCTATAATCTCTAACCCAGTAAACACATTACACATCTATTATAATCATGTATGTCTTGATGACCTACTGACGAAGGGGGGTGTTCCTTCTGCAGGGTCGCCGGCGGACAAGGCTGACCTGGAGGTGGGTGACGAGATCTTGGAGGTGAACGGCAAGAGTCTGGAGGACGCTACGCACACAGAAGTCATCTCCCATATACACCAGGTAAGGTCATGAACCGTATTGTCATGTCTTAGGTCCTAAGAATGGAGGAAATTGCAGGTCATGAACTATATTGATGTGTGTTATTTGAGGTCATGTTGAAGTGTCATATGGTCAGGTTAGATCATATTAGATGTGGTTATAATTATTGTTGTTGTGATTCTTGCCTCATAATCACCACCACCACCATCATTAATCATCTTCATCATTAACCATCACCATCATCATTACCATCATCACACTGCCTCGCTCCCTGTCTTGTTGATAGAATGAAATAATTGACAAAAACAAGAACCTCTTGTCTTTACAGAGAGACAGGAGACAGGAGTACTGTGCACGTTTACAGTTTACATAGTTGCCCCAAACAATTCCTTTATCCCCTCTGGTGACGTTTACGTACATATGGCAGAGTCGTAATGAATGAATTGGTGGTAGTATTGTAACGATGGAGCTGATTGGTGGGCAAGTTCGGGTGCTGTACCTCAGGAGACGGGTGTTGGGGGAGGTGTAATGTAAACACTTCACCCTCCCTCCGTCGTCTGGGTACTGAAGCATCTGTGTCTGTGTGAGATGTAGTCACTTCTAAACACTTCACAGGCCACTTTTCCTCTTTAGACACAGAAGAATAATCTCGATAAAAACTACAGTATTAATAAACTTATATTATACACGCAAGTTAAGGTACACATTTTTTATGGAAAAAAATTTAAACTTGTAACATGAAAATAAAAGGAGGGTCAGTGTAGAAGTCTAAAGTGTATGTGAGAGTGAAGGAATGAATGAATACTGAAGTCACAATAACAAAGAATGACTCATGATCTTCATCGTCAATATGGTATATAAATATCACCACCAAATTATAAAAAAATATGACTCAGTTGGCGGCAGAGTGAGACTCGTACCTCGCTGGTCGCACCTGTGTTGGTGAGCGACGTGTGGCTGTGATAACAGGGCACCTGTGTGTCTCCCTCCTTGGGATCACTTCTTCACCAAATATTATGGTATGATGACCCTTGTGTTGTCATATCATAGAGGAGTGGTTTGGGCCAGTGTGTGTGTTGGATTTGGAGTTCACGATTCTCAACGTTCCCCGCCTGTGTAACACCCAACGTACACGCCACCAGTGAGCAGTCAAACACACACTCACAAACGCATTGTCATTTTGTTTTATTATTATAATTATTCGTGTTACATTTTTATTCTGGTCATTTGGGGCCACAGAAGATGTTACAGGGCTAACAAAATAAATCGAGGGAAACAGAACGAATGAGAACAAGAGGTAGAGCAGGAATAAATGGTTATGAGCGAGTTTGTAGTGTGGCCTTGCTGCTCACTACCAGGATAATGGGAAGACTAACATAAAAATGAAAAATGAGACACAAAAACAATGAAAGAATCAACCTCCACATATTATGATTCCTGAGGCAACTGTACATGGCCGCGTACGAACATCAATGTATACGTACAGTATGTTCACTGACTACCTTGCTTCTCGTTGTCCGCTCCAGCCACTCAGGTGTCGTATCTTAGGGCGCTGTAGTCGCTCATAATTACATCATCGCCACTAATTAGAAACGTTTGCCTAAGGTACGAAACGATTTGTCATGATAACTGTGTAGTTAGATGGCGTAGATCTGGCTTCTGAGACAGGAATAGGGGGAGACTTCATCCCTTCTCCTCCTTCCTCTTCTTCCTTCTCCTTCCTCTTCTTCTTCACCTCGTCTTATTATCCCCTTCTCTCCCCATTCACTCACTTTCATCACCTCCTCGTTTACCCTCTCTCTATAGCTAACTTAACACTCCCTGCATTCTTTTTTTTAATTCTCATTATTTAACGTTTCATCCCACCTCTCTCTCTCTCTCTCTCTCTCTCTCTCTCTCTCTCTCGTATATTCCCCCCTGCTCCTCTCCATTTGTTTCATTCTCCATCTCTCCTTCTCCCTTTCTCTCTCCTCTTTCTCTTCCCCTAAGTTCTCCCTTTCCCTCCCCTCCATTTTCCCAACTTTCCCTATCCATTTCCGCCCCTCCCCCGTCCTCCCCTCCATCCCCCTGACCGACTCCTCCGTCAGGGTGATGCATGTGACCCTCTGGAAGTAAAAGAGGAGATGTTTGTCACCGGCTCCTCCCCTCGCCATACATTGACCCCCGCCCTCCCTTTATGCCTGGAGGAGGCGTCGAAGGGTCACTCCTGCTGGAGCGGTAAATCACCGGAGTCAACACAGGCCCCGCACGCCCGCTCCTCTTTATCTTTCCTCCCCTCTGTCGTTTTTCCACTGTCGTTCCTGCCCCCTGACGCCACTGCTGTGTGTGTCGTCCCTGACACCACTGTTGTGTCGTTCCTGACTACTGTTATGTGTCGCTCCTGTCCGTGACACTACTGCTGTGTGTCGTTCCTGCCCCTGACACCACTGTTGTGTGTCGTTCCTGCCCCTGACACCACTGCTGTGTGTCGTTCCTGCCCCTGACACCACTGTTGTGTGTCGTTCCTGCCCCTGACACTTCTGCTGTGTGTCGTTCCTGCTATTTTTTCCATCACAGACAACAACTTAAAAAAAATATTAAACAAAGTAATCGAAGAAGTTTGTTGTATTATGAAGTTATTGTCAGGTTGTGTTGGTGCCTGAAGTGCCAGGGTCTCTAAGTACCGTTTACCGAGTCTTAGTTTCTACAAGAGACAACAACCTTTACAAGACTAAGAGAGATGTCCCGTCTGTGTCGTGAGGCTCGGAAGTTTTAACTCTTCGTTTGACCTCACAAGACGCAGACACTGACCGGCGGCTAGTAAAAGGCCTTAATTAATATACTCCTCACTTGTGGCCTTTCTCCTGGGCCGGATCTGGAGGTCGAAGTAAAGGAAAAATTCCTTTAGTTTTTATGTGTTTATAAATATATAAATCGAAGTTTTGTGTAGCCAGATATATCACTTGGGTTAGGTTAGGTTTTTTATTAGTAATCTACAGAAGCGGTTTTGAGGGTATTGGCTCCTCACCCAGCATTGGTTGGCGACATTTTTAAGTCGTATTGTGTAAAAGTCTGGCTTTTGAGCTGTGACTTTGACCGATGACTTGCCTTCACCCAAATCAGTTCGGTCTTCCCTCTCTTTCTTTTTTGTTCTTTTTATACGCCGCCAGCAGCAGTGTGGACCTCAGCCAGCCACTCACTCACTCACGGCCGATGAAAAATAAATAACCCGGGAAGAGAATGCAATAACCTACCAAATCCACTTTATACGATCTCCCCAGACAAAATTCAACTAAAATATAATATATTTAGCTGCCGGCAGCCCACTGCTTAACTTTGTCACTGTCGCTCACTGGCTGACGGAGATAAATGGGATTTTACGTCGGCCTGACACAGCTGTCTATCAGTTTACTCCTACTGGTTGTTTACTGCTGTTTACTGTAGGCCAAGTAATGTACAGTAGACTACCAGGTAATGACGCAATGCTTCACATTTTACTAGATTTTTCCTGTAAAATTGTAGTTGACCTGCAAAGCTTTTAAACCATTACCGTAGTCATAGTAACACACCCACACACACACACACACACACACACACACACACACACACACACACACATGTCAGTAATCCCTTCCACTAACAATCTACGAGACATTCATATCAGTTTTAGTTGCTCATTTTTTGGGGGGTGGTATTACTCACAACAGTGGCTCACATCTCGGTCATACGTTGTGAAGTATAACCCAGCCAGAGGTGTGGCGCCAGTAACCTGGAAAGAGCAAGAATTTTTAATGGTCAGTTGTAAATGGAGAGTAAGGTTTCCGTCCTCAGTTATACAGTATCGTGTGTTCTTTCCTGTTATTATTCTCGTTTGCTTTTGTTATTTTTTCCCATATAAACAAAAGCAGTTGTTGTGTACTTACTGTGTATATAGAGAAAGTTTTGTAGAGATTATTCAAAGGGATATTATTTTCGCTAACATTATTATTACTGTAATTACAATGTTTTTCTCTCCTTTTGTGTTTCAGTGCATAAGATCCAGAACAATATGTCTGCGAGTCAAGAGAAGAACGGGAAACAAATTAGGTAAGTACATGTCTTTTCTTGATAATGTTAGCTTCTTTAACAATTTTTTAACAATATTTCATGATGTAAGTACTGTACCTATGTTGGCTTGGATATATTAGGGTTATCAACAGATGTTTTTGGCGTGGTATAGTGTTCCCTTCAACAACACCATTCTCTCTCGGTCATTTTCTGTGGCCGTTACTCTGTGTTGGGCAAACTTGTGTAAATTATTCCATGACTGAATGCTTTGCTCCTTTCCAGATAATTCCACATAATTATGACAACATTAACTCTACAATGTTATAGATATATATTTATTCATTAAAATTGACATACAAATTCACATTAGTTTAGCATTTACGTAGACAATACAGGTGTAACTGTATTCATGGACAGTGTAGGTATACAATATACGTAAACAGTGCAGGTGTACATTATGTATACACAGTGCAGGTATACAGTGTATCGTACATTACCGCGATGTAATAACAGCATGATTTCTGTATACACTTGGAAGAACCGTGCGAGCTGTTTATTCACGATGATACTTCATAATAATGTAACACCATCCGCCCTGTCTGTCGTAAACAAGCTTTTATGGTATCTGCACTGTGCTGCTGCAGTGTGTGTGTTACTACTGATGTACATAAACAGATGAGTTGTACTGGATATAGTTACTTCAGGTGTGTTTTGATAACCTTTGTACACATCCACCAAGACTCTCCTGCTGGCCTTATCTTATCCAGGGATCAGTGGTGGATTACAGAGATTAAGTACGTCCACCAACTGTTATCTCCCCCATAATAATACAGAGTTAGGAAATATTTATCTCATGAATTAGCATCGTAATAAAGGGTTGGTGTCTTACTTTATATAACAAGAATCTGTTTACTTGAGGTTTAATAACTTACCTCCCAAGAATCTTTGTTTACATAAATAGTAAATGACTTGTTTTGATCTCCCAATGAGGTGTGTTTACAAAGAAGATACGTGTTTTACTTCTAAAAAATCATTGTATATATAGTGGTAATGGCTTCCTTCATCCTAGTCTTAAATCCCATACCCCCAGGGCGTGACGAGTGTGTAACCCCCTCCCTTGAGCCCGATAAATGTCCGCCGTAGAAACATTTCACCCAGTATATGTGGCCAGATTCCTCCCTGAGGGGCGGGCCGGGCATGATACAGTCCAGACGGGCAGTAAAGAACAGACGCGGGCGTGTTAGGTTGATGTGGGTCACTAGGGAGGTGTTACGCCCCACGACCCCTTAATCCAGTGACCCTGAGTTAAGTTTAAAGCGCGTGAGGATGTGGTCCTGACGCTCATTGAGAAATATCAGGAAGTACAAGTTGTGACTCTCGGGTGTAAAGTAAAGGTGCGGTAATTCCCGCGAAGTGGTGGCAGGTTTATAGTACTGTACAGGCTTATGGCATCGCTTTCTACACCAACCCAACCCAACTTAACCTTATCCAGCCTCTCCTGAACTATTTCTCCTGTCTGAATTTCTGTTTTAATTAGCACAAAAGAGAGAGAGAGAGAGAGAGAGTATATTAATGAGGACTTGCTAAGGTGAGAGTGATGTGAGAAATAATGGGAGGCGTGGATGTTTTTCTTTAAGCGCGCGCGCGCGCGCGTGTGTGTGTGTGTGTGTGTGTGTGTGTAAACATTGATTAGTCCCAGATCATATTACCAAATATTTCTGTTTTTGTGAGTGAGTGAGTGTGCTTCTCGCTTTGTTTATTTTTACAGTGGTCGGTACATGACTGGGGACCGTCTGTGTGTAATAATAATAATAATAATAATAATAATAATAATAATAATAATAATAATAATAATAATGCACACCGGAAAGTTAGGGAGGGTTGACTAGCATCAGTGAAAGGAAATGGGGAGGCGAGGGGGTGGAGGGAGGAGAAGGGGCTGTGGAGGGGGAGAGGGGAGGGCAGGGCGGCAGTGTTGACATTAGGCAGGCGGCGGCTGGTGGTAGTGGGCGTGGCTGACCTCTGCTTGGATCAGGTGACCAATATGACCCTCTACCCTTTCCATCGCCCCACCAAGGACACACAAACACACGGTACAGGGACCAGGAGGAATGAGAGAGATGAATACCTGGAGGAGGAGATGAAGAGTTCTGTATAGATACTTATATTGTCCAGGTATTATTATTATTATTATTATTATTACTATTATTATTATTATTATTATTATTATTATTATTATTATTATATCGGGTGTTAACTCATTTATCACAGTCATTCTTGTTTCATAATACTTCAGCTATTAAAAGAAATACTGACGAAAATTTTACGTACAAAAATATGAAAAAATACCAACAATCAGCGTCTCTCTGGCCGAGTGACAGACCACTGACCGAAAGAACCATTTCTTGTGTGGCATTTTCCGGGGGTTAGAGTTACACCTATTTGGAATGGTTGTGAAATTCCGTGAGTCGTGCATCATCACTCCGGCAGGTGTAGAGTTTCAATACAATTCACTGGGTAGTCTGAGGAAACCTTGTTCACGGGCGGACAGACGGGCCCACGAACGGAATGCGCTACGTTATACCTGTGGTGTAATGTTCATCACGCTCGCCTCATAAGAGACCGGACCCGGGTTCGATCCCCGGGCAGGGTGAAACTATGGGCAAGTTTCTTTATACCATTTGCCTCTATCTACCCAGCAGTAATTGGGAACCTGGATGTTAATTGATTTGTGGATCGTATTCCGGGGTAATGGTTAGCCAGTGCAGTTGGCGAGTTTTTTTTTATTATTATTTATTGGGCACCCCCCTACATCCTTGTGTAAGGTGAAGCACAGAAGCGTTTACAGCGCCCAACAGGGAAGCATGCTTAGTTGTCCGGTCTTCTCGGACTATTCCTTGACACTGGGTCATGCAGCTCGTTAACTTAGGGTGTGGTTGTTGTGTTGGCGATAGCTTCTACACCTTAAACAAATTCACGCCTAGGTGGCCCTTGAGCCGGCTATCCTCGTTACACGAGGGCAACCATTATTATTATATTATACCCCATCACGACCCTATCATCACCTAGAGACACGGTCACAGGAGGGAGGGCCGGTACCAGGTGGGCGGAAAATGAAAGAAAACTTTGTTAGTGTGAGGAATTGCTATATTTAATCCTGATGTTATATGGTTATATGGGGTGGTGTGGCCAGTGGAGGGAAGAGGCTGTAGATGAGAGCGAGAGAGGTGAGTTCCCCCCACCCCCCTCCCCCCTCCAGCTAATATAATGGCCATAGTGAACTGCCTCAGTACCACACAGTCCAGTCCTCCTACACCCCGGCCATACACTCCCCTTCACGCCTCTACACAACCCCCTTCACACGCCCCTGACCTGGCTTGCATCACTCAGGGAGACTTTGTGTTCCGCATACCGCACCTCTGACTACCTCGCTCTCTCTCTCTCTCCCACGCTTCATTAGGTGGTTCCGTGTCTCCTTTATCGTGTACCTGGATATCCCGTCCACCATAATTATCCCTCCTGTAGTACCTGCCTCACCCTCATTCCTCCCTTCACCCTCCCTCCTCACCTCACCTCACGAACATGTCCAACTTGTTTTTATTATGTTTTTAAATCTAATAATCCTCCCAGGTTGAACCCAATCCCCTTCCGTAACACCATCTCTACCTTCAGTGTTGTCTTAAGTCTGAGGGTACACTGTATCGCACCTCAGGTTCGACTCTGTTCAAGGTGGGTTGTTAGGGTCCTACTTAATGTATGTGTCTGCTGGTGGTGTTGGGTGACTCGCAGAACTAGTGTCCCGTCTCGTTTTATCTGTAGATGTTAATAAACATGCGCCGGTGCCTAGTCACAGGAGAGGGCCGAGTGAGCCAGCAGGTGTGGGGGGAGGTGGAGGGTGTTTGGGTCATCACCATCCACCTTTGTACGGCCGAGGTCTGGCTTATGTCTACGGCCACTTAGAGAGCCTCCCCTGGGACGTCGTCGTGAAAAGGGGCGTTAGTGCTGCGCCCCATACTAGCAGGTGTTGCCTTACCGGACACCTGAGAAGTGACACAGATACACCCAGTCCTGTCGCTGTGTAGCTTCTAAGTGTATCCCTGTTATGATAGTGTCCCCGTGTGGCCCTAGTGTATGTGTGTAGTCTCTCCCCAGAGTAACTAATATTTATGTATGTCAGTAGTGTATTTGTGCAACTCTAGTGAGTGTTGTGTTCTAGTGTCTCTCTTGCTCTAAAAAGTCGCCATGTAGCTTTACCTCCTTGTATATACGACGTCTAGTTTCTCTCAGTGAGTCTGATACCCATGTGTGAGGTGTTGTGTCGCAGCTAGACATAATACTCAGAGTCAGGGCGAGACTCGGCTACTTCATTTCCTGCACTCCTCGTCTCCTCCACTGTGTTAGTATAGTTTACGACAAGCGGATGTGGTTTAGTGCACCTTGGCTGAGTGCAGTGTACCTTCACCAAAGGCATTATTAGTCAAACAGCCATCTTCTTCTGTTGTTAAGTGATAATCGTTAGGTGGACCCACACTACTCGTAGCCCTGATGCTTCCCTGTTAGTAAACCCACACCTGCTGAGGTGAGTCTCCACACCTATACACTTACTGTATGTAACTCCGGTGTTGGATTAACCACACCCACGTACAGTATATGTTATATAGCGTTAACGACACACTCCTATATTGTTACATTAACTTATTTTGAAACACCTGTCATCATCTCACACACACCTGTGCTGTTGTTAAACTACGCTTTTTATTTTTGTCTGACACCTGTTGCGCCACTAACCTGTGCCACTACCCTTGTGCCCACATGTAATAATGTCTGGCGTCCCTTTGTTGGCACTTGACACTTATTACACCATTAACCAACTACCCCCGTGAGGCAACAGCTAATTAATGTTTCTGCTGACTGCCCAGGCGTAGTGACCGTGGGCGCGAGTTTTTGTGGTTGTGTTTGCCCGGGGTAATGGGGTTAGGAGTGTTCCCAGCACCTCTACCTCACTGTATTGTACTGTATCAACACAACTGACGAAGGCA